TAAGTTCACCAATATTGACTAACCTGTTTAAAATATTTAATTCATGATTGAGTGCGGAGAAGTCATCCATTTGGGTGTTCTGCGGTATATTTCTTTCTGTTGAGTTCTTCTTAGCTTCGTTTTCTTCGATATACCGAGTGGGCGGGGCGTTTCTAGTTGTCAGTGAAGGATATTCCGAGTTTTCACTACGATTTCGCTGTCTGGCCTCCCATTGGTTTACTTTCGGTGCGGGGGCGGGTACATATTTAGTTTTGGCTTTAGGCCTTCTCTCCTCTAATCTTTGTAATTTTGACAGGTAAGCTTCACACTTAGAATAATTTGCGGGGTGATCACCACCACAGTTAACGCAGATCGCTGGAGTTTCTCTTGTTTTACTACATGTTTTTGTGTGATGATCACCCGCGCATTTCACACATTTAGAAGGACGTCCACAGTTTGATGTTGCATGCCCCCATTGCTGGCAGTTATGGCATTGGATGATTGCCTTCGCCGATTTCCTCAGTTCCCAGGTAACCCTTGTGTATAGAACTCTTCTAACGTTCTTGTTGAGATAGTCAAGGGTTATCGCTGGGTCGGTAACTACCAGAAATAGGGGCCTGTCTTTTGTGTTCATTTGAAAAATCGATCTAGGAGTGATTTCATGTTCATCTTCTAAGTTTTCTATAATATCCTCAATTTTTGTTTTGTCAGCCAGCCCTCGAAGTACAAACGCATGCGATTTGTCGTCACTAGCTGTATATGTGTGATATGATATATTTTCTTTCCTAATGTTCTCCAGTACTTTTTGATGGTCATCTTTGTGTTCAAGAAATAGTATTGTGGTGGATCTAGTATGTTTAACGCTAAATTCACCATTAACTCTGTCCTTTATATCTTTTATTAGCTGTCCCTGATCTGCGGTTTTGCCTTCTATAACTATAGGCGGCATAGTCTTTCTTTTTTGGTCCGTTTTAGAGTTTATTTTGGCTGTGGGTTTACTATTTTCCTTGTTTTTGTCCTTTATATTGTTTTGTGCTGAAGTAGACGGCTCCTGTGAATGTTCATTTGCATCGAATGGCCTGAATTTGTTTCCCTTTTTCCTTTTTTTTACGATCTTTCCTATTTCGTCTTCTAGTTCATCATCTGACTCATCCGTCAATGGGGCGAATTTGTTTTCAGTGACGGTAAGGGTTTTTTTGGATTTTTCCCTAATTAATTTCTGGAAATTTGAGGAGAATTTCCTAGGGGATACAAACGGTGGCTCTTTGCTGGCTTTTTTGGCCGCTTCTAGTTCTCGTTCCTCTTGTTCGAATCTGGCTCTTTCTTCTGCTGTTCTCAAATTGAATGTACTGTTTGGTGAATGAGGGAGATATTCGAATTTATCTCTTTTCAGATTTCTCTGTTCATCTTCCGATGTGTAACTATTGGAATCGTACCCCATTATACTTTTAGATACACTATATGGTAGTTCATATCTACTTGTTCTCCTTATTCTGGGATCGGAGTTTTTTCTCGTGGCCCCTGTATTTTTGAGGGTAACATTGCTCATGTCTACTAGTGTTCCCAGGAGAGGATTTGGAGGTGTAGGGTCAAACCCCAGGCGAGAGCTACTCGATCCACCCGAGCTTGGGGCTTTTTCCTCACCTCCAGTTTCCATATGTTCAGTGTTTTGGGGGTTATTTATATTATTAGAACTGGGACCATTGTTCTGAAAGTTTAGTGGGTTTGTCATCACATTTGTTGGGAGGTCGATGGTTTTGTGCTGAGGTAAGGCCTCATTCACATATGCAGATGTGAACTTGTCCTCTATAGGGGACTTTTCACCTGGTTCCCTCTTATTACCTTCCATATCTATGTCTGCATCGACTATAGTTATGTCTAGGTTGCTATCTACACTACTAGTGGATTGTATTGACTCATCCGAGTTTTCTAATACATTAATTAGCTCCTGAACTTTTTCGTGATGTTCTTTGCTTGAATCAACTTCTATGTTGTCGTCCTGGCTATCATGGAATTCCTGAGACTCATCTGATGATGCCAGCGACGATTTTCTGGAGGGTACCTTCTCTATTGCCAACTTACCATCAGTTTGGCGGTCAATTAGAGGTCGTTTGTCAGAAATTTCAGCCAGGGGGCCCCCTGATCAAGGTAGTTGACCCCAGGATTAGTATATGTTATTGGAAGTTCAAGTTTACTTACAGTTGTGTCTTCAAATTGTGTTTTAAGCTTGGTTTTATTAATTTTTGGGGATGCCTTGAATTGTGTGGGCGTCGTTACTCTTATGAGCGCCTCAGTGCCGAATCTTGTTTTCAGCCTCTTGGAATAAGTGGTTTCAAACCCTTTTACGGGTGTTCTGGCTGCCCCTTCCCTGTGTGTTCTATACTTATCTGGCGAGGAATTAACTATGAATTATAAAAATTTTAATATTGACAGCTGTCAGATCCTTATCTTTTACTAAACACAAGATACACGGATTCAACTATTCCCTAGCAAAGTTCTAGGTAAACTGAGTGCGATAAATTACTCTCGTCCGCGACTCCGCCGGTCAGTCTATAGCTCAGTCCTCCGTCGGACTAGAATTCGTAAATATCCAGTCCGTGTGAATTATTGTTTAGTATTGTTGAGATTTAATTTCAATTCAATTTCATAGTCATTTATTTACATTTTAAATAATACAGAGTTTCAAATTTACAACAATACGTAGTAAGAGGATTTCTTCGCGCTTCGTAATTCAATTTGAAAATTGTACTAAACTTTTTTTTTATTTAATTTAAGGTTATAGAATGCCGCGAGCTTGTAAAAATTCTACAGTTTTTGCTACGTTTGTGGTGAATTTACTCTAAAAGTACAACGAAATGCCATCACAGATCTTGTTAAAACAGCTTATCAACTATATTTTGGATTTTCTATCGATGAGAGAGATAAAAATTGGCTACCAAAAATATGTTGTAATAGTTTTTCGAGAACATTAAGAGGTTGGCTTGAAGGAAGTCACAAGTCTATGCCTTTTACAATGCCGATGATATGGAGTGAACCTCATAATCATGAAAATGATTGTTATTTCTGCATGACATCAACAAAAGGATTCTCGAAAAAAAAAATAAAAAAAAAAATTGTGTATCCGAACATCGCATCTGCAAAGAGACCAGTCCCTCGTGGTGAAGGTACTTTACCTCCAGTTCCACCAAAAATAAACGAGATGAAAAATCAATATTCTTCTAGCCTGCAGCCTCAATCGAGTTTTATTTCTATTGGTAGTAAATCTTCATCGTCATACACTTTATCCGGATCTTCATGCCCATCAACAGAACCTTATTTACTTAAGCAATGTGATTTGAATGATCTTGTTAGAGACTTGGGGCTTTCAAAATCTAAGGCACAATTGCTCGGATCAAGATTAAAACAATGGAATTTGTTGGATAAAGATACGAGAGTCTCATATTTTCGCACAAGACAAGAAGATTTTACGACTTATTTCTTCAAAGAAAATGATTTGGTATATTGTAATGATGCTGCAGGACTTCTTCAAGAACTGAGTTTCCCCGAAAATTCCGATGAATGGAGACTTTTTATTGATTCTTCAAAGATAAGCTTAAAAGCCGTTTTACTTCATAATGGTAACAAATACCCATCAGTGCCTGTTGCACATGCAACAAACATGAAAGAAAATTATGCAAATCTGGAGGTATTGAAAAAATAAAATATTCTCAATTTCAATAGAATATATTTGGTGACTTGAAAGTTGTCGCTATACTTACTGGATTACAAGGAGGATACACCAAATTTTGCTGTTTTTTATGCGAGTGGGACAGTCGGGCAAGAGAAAAACATTATCAAGTGAAAACTTGGCCACTAAGAAAGAGCTTGACTCCTGGGCTTAAAAATGTGTCTCAAAAACCTTTAGTGCCAAGTGATAAAATTTTGCTGCCACCACTTCACATAAAGTTGGGACTGATGAAAAATTTTGTGAAAGCTATGAATAACGAAGGTGCAGGCTTTCAATATCTCAAAACAAAATTTCCTCGAATCAGTGACGCGAAATTGAAAGAAGGAATTTTTGTAGGTCCACAGATACGCGAGCTTATGACAGATGAAGCATTTAATTCCAAGTTAAACAGAGCAGAAAAAAGAGCTTAGGTGGCTTTTGTAAAAGTGTGTCATAACTTTCTCGGGAATACAAAAGCTGAAAACTACCGACAAATCATTCGAGAGCTTATTTCTGCTTATAAAGCTTTAGGATGCAATATGTCGCTCAAAATTCATTTTTTGGACTCGCACCTAGATTTATTTCCTGAAAATCTTGGTGCCGTATCAGATGAGCATGGTGAAAGGTTTCATCAGGATATTATGCAAATTGAAAAACGCTACAATGGGAAATGGTCAGCAGCAATGCTTGCTGATTTCTGTTGGTCGATCCACCGAGAAACTCCAATGGAAACAATGAAAAGAAAAAAAACGACCAAGTAACTTCAATCTTTTCACCATGATACGATAACTTACTGATATTTTTAGTATTTGTGACTGTAAAATTATCTTTTTTCACAGTAAAACTTGGATCGTAATGATTTTTCACTTTTTTATTATTTTTGTTATTTTGATATCATTTTTTGATTAAATGGACTGATATAAAAAAATCTATGTGCTATAATTATTTGCATGACAAATTCCTTGTATAGACCATAAAATATGATGATTTCATGCATGAAAACAATAAGGAGAAAAAAAAAATTTTTGCAGACCAGTGTTTTCACTTACCTTAGGTGTAAAACGGGTGCTGAAATTTAGATGGCCGGTAGTATTGGCACTTTTCGACAAAATTGCGTTAATCTTCTAAAAATCGACCATTCTCTGTTAATAATGCGCCGATATTGTTGTCGATTTTCATCCGAAACATAAGATAGGAATGAATCGATTACAAAAATCGAAAAGAGTAAAAATATTCAAAAACAATATGCACCAATCCGCAATACTACTAGTTTTATTTTCTACTAAATGTATGGGAAAATAAAACATCATAAATATTGGTTTCTAAACACCACCTATATTTCATAGAAACAATATAAATACTCTTAATTATCATTTTTTTTAATAAAAAAAATGTACTTGGATGCAAAATCCTAAGAATATAATTTAAACCTAGAAATCACTTACACTTAATGAGTCATATCAAGTTTTATCACACTTTACACTAACACTAGCTATAAAACGGGTTTCAATGAGAAAGATAACTTCGGTCTGGAATTATTTTTGCCTAAAATCTTTTTCTGTTCTTCCTTCGTTCGTTTCTCTTGTTCTTTTCTCAGTTTCTGTCTTTCTTCGTCCATTTTCCTTTGTTCCTCAACCATCGCTAACCTTTCTTCTGCCTAAAAACAACAAACTCTTTTAGAAACTGCTACATGTCATCAGTGGCGTAGCCCGCCATTTTTCATGGGAGGGGTTTTTGAGAAAGTGAATAAAAACAAACAGTCAATAGCGATCAGCGCCAATATTATAACGGAAATAGTGACGCCATGAGGGGGATCTGACCCACAAAACCCGCTATGCTACGCCATTGCATGTAAACATTATGTTTTTACATAAAATGCGAATGTTTTTTCGAATAAAAATAAATTGTACACCTTCTCATAGGTAATGCCACAAAAGGAGACAATTTTTTTGAGAACATTTTGTTGCTTCTTTGGAAATTAAAAAATCACGAGACATCCTTTTCTTAAAAATACATTTTTTTACAAAACTTACATTTTAGACTTTAGAAAGGAGAGTATTTTTCAAATATACCACCAGGAATCCCATAAATTAACGTTTTTTTCTTTAATTTTACATATTAAAGGCTTATAAGGATCATTAAGTGATCATTTTATTCATTAGAATTTAGAATTATATCTGTCATGCTCTGTCAATACAAATTAGTGCGGCGTCCAATTGAAATCAACGCAGAAGAAGTATAAAAAATACCTTATTTTTGACATAATATTTCCATACTCTTTAAAAAGCAGTACTATAAATTTATTTCCGTTCACATACGATGATTTATTTATCCATTTTGATTGAATTGTTGTAGTACATAATTTTTAAATATTAATATTACGTCATCTATAAAGTAATTAACAATCCCAAATAGCACCGAACGGTTTTATTCAGTACTTCAAGCATGCTTTAAAACTGTAAAATAAAACTGCAATTAAAACCAACTAGTTTTAGAAGGAGCCTTAAGGTTGTAATAAATACGCCTTCAGCATAAAAGGGCCCACACTGAAAGAGGTCAATAAAATCAAAAATCAAAACCTCCATAAAACTATATTATTAAAGTAATGAAATAGTTTTAAAACGCAATATTTACTGACCAAATTATCCTAAGATCAAGCAGATTTAATAATAGGTTTTGTTACATTAAGAATCTCTTTAAAACTACTTAAAAACTAAAATTTCACAATCTAGAACAATAATAACACCAAACAGCCTTCATAAAACTAAGCAGTTTTAAAGTTAATTATTAGATACTTTAAAACCAGTATGAAATGCTAAACGGCTTTTAAGTGCCCGCAGTATATCTATAAGGTAACTTTAAAACCAGTATCTTCTTATTTACCACATTAGAACCATTTTAAAACTGAAATAAACCTAAAATGTTTTTATGGTGCTACTTGGAAATGTTCTTTTCGAAAAATTTGAAACATAATTACTTTGTGTTATCCAAAAGTTTTTAAAACTTTTTTGAACCAAGGGAATTTATTTGTTTGATAAATGACGCCAGCCAGCCAAATTTAAAGAGTACTATGAGGGGCTGGTAATTTAAATGGAAAAACATTGGGAATGTTATTTAGTACCACTCCAATTAATGATAGTTTTGACAGAGTCAGCTGTCAACTGCAAAACTTCAAAATTTTTAAATGGCTGTTGCAATTAAAGGTGCATTGGATTTTGATCCAATGTTTTTCATTACTTTCCAATTTTAAGCATCTTTTCAAAAGATGGGTTTCAGGAACAAACAATAAAGCACTCACAGATATTGCAGTTCTTACACTGTTTAGCACCAATGGTAAGTAATATTTACAAACTTGTTTTTGACTCATTGTCAGTGTTAAAATAATTGGTTTGTTATTTACACCATAAAGTATAATTTATAACCACCGTAACGTAACTTAACGTAAGATATAAAAATAAAGTCTATTTATAAATGTCCGTAACGTAAGAGTTGAGCATGCGTGTTGTATTTCAAAGATTGTCAAATTACTGACAACCTTATGAAATAAACAAGTGTAAACTATGTACCTAACCTCTAAATAAAACTTATAAATTATGATTTTGCTATATAGAAAGAATATATTAACTACTTTAAAAGCAATAATATAAAAATATAATAAAACAGAATAGTTTACCGAAGATGTTGATTGTTTTTGAGCAATAATGAGAATTTAATCTTTCCTAACAAACCAGTTGTGTGTCTTATTTCAGTTCTAGACTTGATGATTATAGGTATATGCACCAACACTCATATCTCATAAATAGTTTATCCCCAATAACATAAACACAAATCATTCATGATCATTTATGTCCATAAAAAAGGAGAATGATAGTTTACAAATGGTATTTGTCCATTCATTTATAAAAAAAATAAAAAGAGAATAATTGACAGTTATCACATGCTGAACTCAGAATTATCTCATTAGCTAACCGTAAGGTCTTAAGTTGTTAAGTTAAAAGTTGGCGAACTTTCTACGGTACGTTAAATTCTTAAGTTACATTATGAACATTATAAATAAGTATATGTAAATTCAATATTTCAATTTCTTACGTTAAGTTCTTAAGTTACGTTACGTCTGTTATAAATTAAGCTTAAGAGCCTTTAATATGTAAAATTAAAAAAACAACGTTAATTTATAGGGTTTCCGGTGGTATATTTGAAAAATACTCTCGTTCCTAAAATTAAGTTTTCTAAAACAATGCATTTTTTTAAAAAGGGCGTCTTTGCAATATTTACCCAGTTGAGAGGTATTTCGGGAGGATTTTGTAGAGTGAAATTTGCATAATTTGTAAGAGTTCTTAAAAAACTCTAATCTAGCGTGGCGTTTGGAAATATTTATTTAACAATATAAACAGAACTTTTATATTGCTTTTTTCCATAAGATGATGTCGATTCTGCATTTAAAATATATATTTGAACAACCAAAACGATTTTTGTCCATTTTTCGACTTTTCTTTGGAAAACTGCACATTGACGTTTTGCATAAATCATTGATACGTTACCCTGGTAATGAATTAATTTTTTTAAATCCAACCTTTTTGACAAACTTCGCATTGACGTTTCCTGTAACCCCTTCCGTGTTAGGAACACGACGCTTTATGATTGGCGAGTAAGGTACACGATGTTTTATAATTGGCAAATTTAAATAGCGCGCATATTTGTGATAAATGACAGTTCATTAGACGTCTTGTTTTCGTTTTTAAAAAGATCGGTTTTTGTGGCAACCGAAGACAATTTGGCCGAGATGCCTCTTTTATAAACTTTTAAAATGTGTTTTTATTGTAAAATAAATGCTAATCATGCCGAGAGCTTGTTAGTTTGCAATAAAAAATTCTTAAAAGGATCCCGGTTGACGTTTCCCAAGTAAGTATTCTATATTCCATAAACGTAGCTTAAAATGGGAAGTGGACAAATTACTAAGAAAACATGTTTGTAGAAAGTTTTTCATTTGAGCATCATCACAATAATTGTTTAATTTGCGATATAATGCTTAATTTATTAGTCTTTTTGTGTATTGTAAAATGGATTAGATACCTTTTTGTATTGTACATCTTTATTTTTCATTAATTTTTTAAAGTTCAGATTTTCTACTGAACTCACAATCAAACTGGCTTAGTGTCAAGTGCTCAGTTTGAGCATTAATAGCATGTCAATGTTCAGACCATTTTTTAACTGAACATTATTATAAAAGTAGCAATAGATTAATAAAAGGAGCTATACCAAAATCTATACCTGTACCTTGCATTCGAAATGTGTAAGTTTTTTCCATATAAACACTAGTAGTAATGGAATTAGATATTCATATATATGTGACTTTTGAAACACACTTATTTCCTTATTTTGTTAAATAGTAAACATGTAAGTATTATTATTATTACATTATTGTTTACAAGCTTGAAAATAATGACAGTAGAGAAAATATGCCCTTATCTCAGTTTCCAACATTGGAAATTTCGAAGTTGGAAAAGAAAATTAGAAAGCTAACGAAAAGATATGATTAGCTCTTACATTTTTAAAAATCAAACAGGTGCTGGTAGTAGCCTTTGGAATTTTTAAAATTTAATAAAATGTGTATCATTAATAAATGGGCAAAATAAATTTTATGTACATTTCATTTGTAGGAATGAAAATATGTAAGACAGGGAACTTCAATCTTTAACTCAAATACATTGAATGATATCTCTGTCTTATATGCTCTAAGGGAGATACAGTTTGTGTTGACTGGCATCTGTTGATATAAAAGATGATTGTCATTGGTTGTTGTATTATAGCGTCAAATAATCTAAGAGATTTGACTTTACTACATGAGAAACACATGACAAGCGTCAGTCATATACTTTGTTTAATAACAGGTTACATGTTTCTTTCTAAAATTAGTACAATAAATAAGGCATTAACTTAACATGTAACTTATTCTAAATGACAAATATACCAACACCATAAGTATTTTTTTTTTAATTAAATAATAGCCAACCTATTGTGTTGGAACAAGATTTTATTAAATGGCCATCTCCCTCTTCAGACCATATGCCTATTAACTGTTTTTATGAGGATTTTTCAACAAATCTATATAATGAAGAATACCTGTAATGAAGTACTGGTCCATAATACATATAAGGGTCATAAATTAGTATAGTTCGTAAAATAACTGAAGTGAAACTTTTTATGACATGAAAAATATGGCGAATGAATTGATAAACCAGACCCATTTTTATGTCCCAATACCTCGACAGCTTAATACCCACTTGAAGTCCCATTAAATAAATAAAACAAAAATAAATAAAAAAAAATTAATTAAAAATAAATAAAAAGCAAAATATCTTACGAATCGCCTTGGCAAACGACTTCTGTGAACTTGATGACTAAAATATCGCTCTTTTATCCTCAGAAAATGAAAGTACGTACCAATTTAAAAATTAAAAATAGGATTTCGATAGGTATTTTAAATTAAACAAGAAACTAAAAAGAATATATAAATTATCCGAAACGTCTCTATTCATTAACATTTTTGAATGCACAAATAAAAATTAAAAACAAAATTCATGAAAAGTTAAAGAATGCCATACATAATAGGTACAAAAACAACCAAAACAAAATAAATGCAAATTGAACAAAATAGTGATGGGATTTTTCATAAAAAGTCATTTTTGGACTATAGTCGACCTCAAGCATATAAGGCCCACAGTTAAATGTTTCTCAATCCTGGATACATTTTCAAAACCACTTTGGGAACAATATTTGCATTTAGAATTTTTGTTTTTTAAATAAATCATTTGTAAAATTTGGTAATTTTTTCAATTCTTTTTTATTAAAATATGAAACAAAAATTCGAAAACACCGTTAAAACATAAAAATCAGTAGTCATTCGTCGTTTCTTCTTTTTTAAACAATATTTTGCCTTTTTTTGTAAGAAATTCAGCCAATTAATTTAGTTTCGCGCATGCGCAATACTTTTCCGTCTTCGACGCTTCAAATTTTGAGATTTCAAAAGTTACACAAGATATAAAATTACGAAAAATGTACAATCAAATCTACCTACTAGGATATTTTTCTATAAAGACGATTTTTAGTTGCTAAACACGTAGATGTTACCTAATTATGGTAACTAATTTTACTTCAAAGAAAGTTTACCTTTGAGGAAATTTTAGGTTATTTTTGTTAGTATTTTTTTCCTTTCTGATTAGGTTAAAGTTACTTTTAATATGTGTACAATGTAAATTTCTTGGTGTAATTTACGTAAATGTATATATATAAATTAAAACGTTTTGGTAACATTATATAGGAGGTATAATTTTCTAGACAATTTTACGTAATAAATTACCTCAATAAGTAGATATGACTTTTACCAAGTCGAATTATAGCTACTAATATCGAAAATGTTTGCTGGGAATGCAATTTCCGATGTGGTTAATGGTGGGTTATCTGCTAAAGCTGCGGCTATTAAACGCAGTGTTCCACGTACGTTATTTGCAAAAATGCAGGGAAAAGGAATATGATATTAACTAGAACTCGCCATTTTTGGAAGGGGCACCAAGACTTACTCCTAACTACAGAGTGAATCAAATATTTTCACCTGAACCAGAGGACATTCTAAGTGAATATTTCCAAACCATGACGAAACTTCATCATGGTATGAACCCAAAATGTGCCCGAAAGTTAGCCTATGATTTGGCAGTAGCAAATGGAAAGAAAATAACCCCTCATGGACAGAAAATTGTACTGCTGGAAGGTTATGGTTTAACGGCTTTATGAAAAAACAGAAAGAGCTGTCCACACAGTCAGCAGAAGCCACGCCTTTGGGAAGAGCAACGAGATTCAATAAAACAGTGGTTTAACAATCTCCGTCAAATTTATTAGAAATATAATTTGGGACCTGAACAAGTTTTTAACGTCGATGAAACTGGCCTTACTATCGTGCAAGAAACAGGAAAAACTCTTGCAAGGAAAGGTCAAAAACAGGTTGGACACATAACCTCGAGTGAGCGGGGAACTCTAGTTAGTTACTATGTGTGGTTGTATCAATGTAATTCCTAAATAATATACCGCCACTTCTTGTATTTCCAAGAAAAAATTTGAAAGACATGTTAAAAAATGCTCCACCTGGAACTGTTGGAACAGCATCACCGTCAGGATGGATAACTACGGACAATTTTGGGCAATGGCTAAATCATTTATAAAACACACTAAACTAATACCCGAATCGCCAGTATTAGTAATCATAGACAACCATGAATTCCATATTTCAATAAACACAATAAAATTAGCGAAAGAAAATAATGTAATACTATTGACGTTACCGCCTCATACCAGCTACAAGCTTCAGCCATTGGACAAATCTTCCCCCTGAATTTTTTTTATAATCAATGCTGAACGACGTAGTTGCTGAACAATCCAGGAAATTGTAGATAATATAGTGGAAAATCAGCCTAAGGAACAAGATTTATCTGAAGCAGCAAAACAATCTGAAGTAGTGCCATCCATTTCTTCATCCATAAGAAGCAGGAATCCAGAGAAGCAATTTATTTCACCCGTTGAATTAAAGCTGTATCCTTCTGCGACTGCAGTTTTCATTAAAAAACATCAAATGAAAAAATCTGAAATATTAACCAGCACACCTATTTACAAAAGATTTGAAGAAGAGAGGAAAAGTTTAAGGAAGCAAGAAAACACATTTACAAAAACGGTCTGGTATAAAAAGGAAAGTGGATGATTGTCTGAAAGATCCACCAGCAAAAAAACACAAGATTGAAAAAAGCTCAAGTAACAGCGATATGGATGTGGGGTTGACCGATTCCGATGATGTGGACTTCTTAGCTGAATCAGATAAAGATGACGAAGCAATTATAAATGATATAGCAAATATTGCTCTGGACTCTTTTGTGCTTGTGAAGTTTGCAACAAACAAAACTTTAAAACATTATGTTGGGCGCGTTACTGAAATTTTGAAAGACACATGATTTCAATGTAACATTTCTAAGACGTCATGGCAATAATTTTACATATCCCGACGTTTCTGATACATCTATAGTTTCAATTGAGGATACTGTGCTTCACTTGTCTAGGCCTGTTAAAGTAGGTGGTACTACCAGAACAGCGAATTTATTTTCTTTTTTTATCAATTTATCTATGTATGATATTTGTTAACTTAATTTTGATTTAATTTTAAAAGGCTTATGTTGTTGTTTAAGTTGCCTTTTGAATTAATATGGGGTTATTTTTTGTAATAAAAACTACTTTCTTTTTAAATAAACTGTTCTGATCAGTGACTAATTATTTTTAGATATACCTATTCCTTAGAAGAATTGTGCCCACTAAGGTGGCCAGTGTACCATCATTGTTGGTACAGTGGCCATTTTGAATTATTGTTTTGCAAAATTAATATTATTAGTAGTTTTCATTTTTTCAGATCCACAATTTAGTATTAATGGAATAAATATCCTTTCTATTGTCAAGCAACGTTTACTTTTCAATAATTTATGTCTCGGAAAATGCAGTTTTTTGTTTGCTTTGTTCAGTAAAAGATAAAAACAATCTATTAAGTTAAACATTAAAAACATTATAAGATGATTACAGGATATTGTGCAAAATTATAAACCTCATTTACTACAAATTTTTCAAATAAGGCTTAAAAAATAGAAAGAAATACATGTCAAGAATGTCATGTCATTTTACCCAGATTATAACAGTTAATGAAATATCATCCAATTCTATTGGACATTCATTATAAATACATTTCTACCTTTAAGGTTTTAAATGTAGTAAAATTTAAATGTTTTATGAATCAGCCTATTTATGAATTAGACTGTAAGTATAGTTATAAATTAGTCACTTACCAATTTTTTCTGTGCCTCTTCAATTTTCCTCTGGTTTTCTTCCAAAATTTTCTCAACGATTTCTTGCTTTTTCCTTTCTTCCTCCTATAAACCATTAAGAAAAAATCAATAACCGCAAACACTTAATTTATGTCCTGACCCAGCTCACTAACAAACAAGATTTGGCATCAAAATTAAGCTTTTTTTTTTTTAAGAACTTATAAATAAAACTGCACAAAACTTAATGTAATTGATACAAAATCTTCAGACACAATAGCATTCAAAAAGTGATAAAGTGAAACTAATGAATTTAGTTTTTGCCATTAAGAAATATGGATTTTAAAACTGATTAATTAGCAAATCAACGGCCATGAAATATTAACTGACATTAACTAAATTCATTTGTTTTTTTTTTTTCAGTGATTCAGATTGTGTAAAGTCTAAAGAAAATAATTTGTCAAGTATAATAACAAATATCTGAATCTTTTTTTTTAATAGGTAAGCCATATTTAAATATTCCATTCATAGCTGGGCATGGACTTTTAGGGTTAAATACAAATACAAATCCTGAGTGGCAGGTCTTAAATAAAATATTGCACTTCCCAAATTCAGATAGGAACATTACCTTATATATTTATCTACCAAAAACATATAAAATAAATATCTACATAGGATATTATTTTTAATTAAATATATAAAAACTGTAATACATTTTATTTAGAATCCTCAGAATATTGTTTCTTCTAATATTAATAGTATAAAATTTAACTGTATTGATCCTATTATAATTCTTAAAATCCAATTTAAAAATATAAAACGAATAAATTGATTACATTATACAATTACAATGTGAGGCTCCAACAGAGCGGTCAAAGTGTAGCAGTATAAATTCCAATCAAAATATAATGCATTCAATTTGATTTAACAGGAGCGTCGACCATATTTTTATTTCATATTGTTTGTATTGTCAAGATACAAATCAGTATATCACAAAATAATTTAAATTTAAAAGTATTAATCGAGAAAAATAAAAAGGATATATATGGGCTTTTTTTTTTTTTTTTTTTTTTTTTTTGAATGTGAAAGATATGTTGTAAAAGGAGCAATTAAAAACTTAGTTTATGATATGAAAGCAAAAGTTATATTTAAAATTTTCAAAAAATAAATCAGTTACTTACTAAGCAATTGATTCATAATACCTAAGTAATTTTATGAACTCAAAAACGGTTTAAAACACAAAATATATACAGGGCTTACCAGCTTTTAGTTTACAGGCTCTAACTATTTACCCTGTATATTTAGGAGAAAAACTTTCAAGTAAAATGACTTGGATTTCTAAAGGAAAAATCAAGCGGCGTCAGTTCTGGTGAACGGGCAGGCTAAAGAATGGAATCTCTGTTTCCATTTCATCCATTTAAATGCATTCTGTTTGGGTAATTTTTCACAATTTGTGCATTGCTAGGTGAAGTCCCATCTTTTGCTGCCACACTTTTCATTAAGAGGAATATCTTCAATTAAACCTGGCAGTTCATTTAAATTTTAAAAAAACTTGTCTGGTGAGGGTTCCTTTGTAAAAATAAAAACCAACTAAATGCTCATTAGATGGACCACTACAAACGTTAGTTTCCCAAACCGTCTGAAACCGTGCCATTGTCGCTCCAAAGAATACAGTTACGTATACGTAGACGCATTATATACCTCCCTACCTTAGAACGTCACATTCGTAACACACTTGTCACCTTTTAGGTACTCAATTAATTCGTGGTAGTCCTATTATGACAAAGGTTAAACTCATCTCATTGCTAAAAATCAGTTATTGATCATCATTATGACTTTTTTAATATGCAAACGATATGTCATTTACATCTTATAATAAAAAAAATATACCCTATACATATCTCCAGTTACAATTATATTATTATTTGATGAGTTAAACACATTTAAAGATCCCACACTGGTGAACCCGATAGAAAGAACATACCAAGATTGAGAAGAAAAAATCTGGGGTGCAACAGACTCCAGCAGAACCTGTAATGAGCTGAATCACTAAGAGCAACAGAAACAGCAGCAGCAGGCTAATATAAGGCACATTTGTTCTACAGGGATGAGTTTAATCTTACTACTGACTGCCACTCTAAATTAAATTTCACACACTGTTACATCGCAACATAAAACCATACAAAAACACATCACTCATGTAACCAGCATTTTGCATAGGACTATTCCCACATATATGTGATAAAGAAACCAGATGAGAAAGGACCGATTGGTCACATGATAAAGGACCGATCGGCCATTTGATAAAGGACCGATCGGCCATTTGATAAAGGACCATATAATAAAGGCAAACTGCCAAACACATTGTAGACGATGAAAAAATTAGATGAGCAATATCCAGCTTATCTCCATTTAAATCGCCAGGATCTGACAGTATCTATCCAGCCCTACTTCAGTGGGGTCTGGAAGAACTCACACCTCACCTGGTGGGTATATTCAGATCCTAGTTGGCTCTGAGGTATATCCCCCAAAAATGGAGAAGTAAAAGTGGTATTTATATCCAAACCTGGAAGGATGGATTACACTGTCCCAAAAACATACCGACCAATTAGTCTGATATCGTTTTCCATGAAGTCATTGGAAAGGCAATGCGAAAGGTACATAAGGGATGCGGTGATTACAACAACACCACTACCCCCAAACCAACATGCATATACCCAGACAAATCTACTGATTCAGCCCTTCATCTAGCTGCTGGCCAGATAGAAAGATCCCTGGACAATAAGGAGTCCGCCTTGGGTGTTTTCATAAATATAGGTGCTTTTGATAAAACCACCTTCCCAAAGATAATACACTCACTAACCAACAGGAATGTTCCACAAATGGTTAGTGTGTGGATACGGATACATAACATGCTCTCAAAGCGAGCAGTAAACATAAGTGTAAAAGAAGTGAATATAAGAGGCTTGGTTGCGAGGGGATGTCCACAGGGAGCGGTGCTATCACCTATACTGTGGAATATGGTCCTCGACACCCTCATAAGCCGCCTCAATAATGACAGTCACTACACAATAGCATATGCAGATGACCTGGTCATTCTAGAAACAGGGAATTTTGAGAACATACTCTGTGAAAGAATGCAAGTAGCTCTAAAAACTATAGAACAGTGGTGCAAGGACCATTCACTGTCTATCAATCCTAAGAAGACAGAAATGGTCCTTTTCACAAGGAAAAAGAGCATACATTGCTTATGAACAATGCCGCCGAACCGTGGGGCGAACCTGGGGTTTCTCCCCCAGAGTCGTCGCATGGATTTACACGGCTATCATAAGACCTATGCTAACATACGGTGCAGTTGTCTGGGTACCGAAAACCCAAAAAATAACAGCTATCCATAAACTAGAACAAATTCAAAGAACAGCATGTCTCAACATAACATGAAAACAACACCGACTAGAGCCATGAAAGTCATTCTTAGTCTCACTTCCCTTGATATTTACATCAAGGAGGTTGCTCTGACGACAATGACTCGCCTCCGCACGGTCGGAATAGAACCTGTTACTCAGACGCACTACATACCTTTTTACCTTAGAACATTACACACTACTTGTCACCATTTAAGCAATCCTTCAATTTGTGGCAGTTTTAGTATGAAAAAAGTTACTCATCTCCTTAGCAACTTCGGCTGAAAAGAATCTGTTATTGATCATCATTATGACTTTTTAATATTTTAATATAGAGGGTGTATACAAAATTTTTTAATTGGTAGGTATTTACACTTACATGCTTCAGATTATCTATGACTTAATTCTAACAAGTCGTAACCCACAATTTTTACGAATTCACGTTTTTACGTTTACTCAATAGAAAAGGATGGATACTATCGGTCACTAAAACCTCTTGTCCCAAATAAAATTATTTCTAGTTGATTCCCGCGATTTCTAACAGGTCCTAACCCGCACAATAAATGTGTCAGGACAGTTTTTTGGCTCGTCTGTAAAATTTACTCTTTGCGGGTTACGAGGTGTTAGAATTACTAAGTTATCTAACGATATATAATTTAAAAGTCCCTTGTGTAACCTCCAAGAACTCTGAACTTACCTATATAATGCAATTAACAAGAATTACATCTATTTTTTTTGTGTATTATTATTAAAATATAATTAATTGTGGTATCTGTAATACTAATCATTATTATTTTTTGTGTCTTTATTAGTTAAAAAAAACTCCATGATAAATATTAGCTGGTAATATTGCAATTAATAATTTTACAAACTAATTAATGGCTTGTCTTTTGTGAAACAAAAAGAATAGTGGTGACTAAGTGACCGCAGGCATTTAAAAATCTTCAAAATGAAAATTTACGTCAAAAAAAGCAGCCAAACTCGAAAAAAATTATGGACTCATTGTTAATCATTCATTTAATACCACCTAAATATACCTAAATGTCATGAGATTTTTTTGACTGCCATATAATGTTATCACAAACTTCCCCGAATTCCATGGCCAGCAATCTTGTTAAATAAAAGTGAATGTATTATATTATAGGTGTATCAGAAAATTTTTGTGATATTTTTTTAATTCTTACGAAACATTTTGTGATATTCCCATCTGACATTGAGCGGTGCTGAAAAAAGATTTGGTATTACCTGAGCCGCGCGTCGATGTCTATCGTCAAGAGCTGCCAAAAATCTGCCATTGCGCTTCAGTCATTTGTTCAAGCACTGTTGACCCTTTAGCTTACATGCTATTGGCATATATTAAATGACATAACTTTTCAAGAGTATAGGCTGTGTAGAACACTTAATGAACTGATCTACATGTTCTTATTTATTCTTAGTTTTAAATTTTTGGTTTGGTTTTTTGTATTTAAATAATTGTATTGTCTTTCAGGAAAGGGTATGGTACAATTTAGACTTTTTAGAACAGGCTGCATTAAAAAATATTGTTTTATATTTTTTTGAAAAAATAAAAACAAATTATATTGATTATTTACATAATTGTTTTAAAACAGCCTGTATATTAATATCAATATTTGTGGAAATTCTCTATGATAAAAAGGCTGTTTTTATCTGACCTATTATAAGCATATACACATGAAGCTTATCAGTAATATTGTAAAGACTCATTTAAAAACATTCCATTCATTTGTGGAATTACGAACTCATTTCAATGTTAAAATAAAAATCATTTAACAAATAACAGATTTTAACTGTATTAAAATAAAATATCCCATGCTTTAATCTCATTTAGTTTTTATTAAACAAACAATTATGCAAATATTGCCCTGAACAATGTTATTTGTCAACTAGAGAGAACAACCTTTTCATTAGTTAGTATTTTAGATATACCCCAACTATATTATTTCTTGATCTTTTATAGATATTTTCATAGAACTAGATTTTAATTTTTTCTGACTTTAAAAATAGTAATTATGAAAAATAATGTCATTTTCAATTAATTTTTAATATTTACTCAAAAGATACAGTTGTGTACTTCCCTACAAAGTTTTCAGTATATTATGATAGCTATAAACTTCAATGAGATTTAAAAAACCACTTACTCTACATAGTGGCGGGTCTGTGATGTGCTCATACTAAAATTGGCATATTTTGAAATATTTTAATTAGTAGTTATGAAAAGAATATATTTTTATTAATATTCTCGATAAAAGCTATAACGATTACTTAACTAGTTTCTGAGATGTGTCTCTAGATACACCATTTAGCAGAAAGTGTTATACAGAACATGTCACAAAACCCTTATCATTTTTGCTTAGCACAACTGTCTTTTCTTTAAATTCGATATGTTGCCCACTTAGACATAACGGGCGTCCCAAAAGTTTTGGGAAAAAGTTTGTCTGTGCTCTGCGGAGTATTAAATCAAATTTATCTAGTTAGCCATGGTAATAAACGTTGCCCTGGGTTTTGTTTACTTGGTTGACAGCCCAGTTGGTATCTGTCTGTAGGCATAATAGCGTACAAAATTGAGATTCGAAAATCTATTTATAACTTTGTTGGCAGAATGCCAAAAAAAGATATCGTTAATATTTTCCGGAATCAAAGTATATCTAAAACAACAATTTACCGAACAATTCAAGAATGCGAACAAGGAATACCTTGTCTCAACTTGCCGAAAAGTGGCAGACCGGCAACGCTTACTGATGTCAGGGTGAACAGGATGGTCGAACTTGCAAAGGATATCAATGGAGTGTCAACTCGAAAGCTTTCCCGACGATTTCATGTATCAAAATCGACAGTTTCTAGATATATTGCAAAAAAGGCTTAAATTATAGAAAACGGACAAAATGTCCAAAGTATAACGAGGCCCAACTTCGAAGGATTCCTTATTGTTGCCGCTTGTTACGTCTTCGTCATTTTGTGAACAACAGAAAGATTATACTGGATGACGAAAAATATTTTACATTTTCGCATGCCGACCTACCAGAAAACTCAGGTTTTTATACAGATAACATTGAAAATACCCCCGAAAATGTAAAATACAAACCAAAGGCCAAGTTTGCGAAGAAACTGTTAGTCTGGATTGCATTATCGGAAAATGGTTTGTCCAGGCCTTATGTAGGACATGTTAGAGGCCCTGCAGTGGATCAAAATACTTACATTCAAAATTGTCTTCCCAAATTGGTAAATTTTATTAAAGAACATCATGCCAACGACAATATCATGTTTTGTCCGGACTTGGCGTCGGCTCATTATGCTAGAGCCACATGCGAATGGTTAGAAGCTCAAAATGTGCCATTTGTGCCTAAGCAGGACAACCCTCCGAACGTTCCCCAAGCAAGACCAATAGGCAAGATTATCAAGCAAAGTTTATGAAAATGGCTGGGAAGCTCAAAACGAGCAGCAGCTGCGGCGTAGGCTATGCCAAAAAATTAGAGAGTTTGATGTTGAAGAGTGCCAAACCCTAATGAGACGCGTCAGGACAAAACTGCGCCATATCGAAGAAAATGGACCCCTAGCGGTGCTGTAATAGTTTTTATTTATTGTTAAGGAACCACTTTGTACGTAGTATTATGAGGGATAAATAAATTTTTAAAATATTTTTTTTACGTCTTTAATTTTTTTCCCAAAACTTTTGGGACACGCGTTAGATCTAATTAAAGTAGGAATTTCAAGTCCTTATAAAGGTCGAGTTAAGACAATTACTGAAAGTGGACATTTTCATGATAAAATAACTTTGACAGCTCCGAAATATAAGTGGGTACTTTACAATTTAAAAAATTACTGTTTTGATAAAAAATAGTATTTTTCACACAGAATTGAGAGTGTGCCACAGGCAGAAATTTTAAAGTATATCAAAAACAAATACATTTTATACTTCCACTCTAATGAGTCCACAAATAGGCTAAGAGCCATCGACCACCAGTCCCACGTTTTAGTATAAAGGTTAAGATTTTTTTATGTATGTGCACATTATAGTAGATAATAACGTTTGGTTGTTATACATCTTGACTACGTGTGTGTTTGGCAAATAATAGGTCCTCAAGGTACCGTAAAGTGGGACAACTTTGCTTAAAAAACTAAAAAAAAATATTTTCTGTAAATCTGGTAACACTGCTCCAATGCAGTTGGCGACAAAATACTACGCGATTAACAGGTTTTAGGCAGTACGAGTCTGGAGCTTGGTGAAGCAGTGCGCCATATTTGAAAATCACGTTGAGTATATTTTTATTTTGACCTCTTAAATCGTGTTGCTATGCTAAGGGTTATATAATAAAAACTAATGAATCTTGAATTCTGGTTTTAACATCATCTATTCCTGTGCATATGGGGGTTCTATTTCTGATATTAACAGTTTTCCAGATGCTAAATTTCCAATAATTTTTGCGGTCTAGGACAGCTCGCCGCCGTCGACTCGCCACCGTCATCTCGCCGCCGCCATCTCGCCGCGGGGACAACTCGCCATCGCCGACTTGCCGCCGGGATAACTCGCCGCCCGCTCCATTAATATAATAAAAATATTATTAATATAATAAAAATATTATTAATAATAGTAATAATAATCATCCCGAATAGACAATGGCGGGTTTTGAAAGCTATTAAAAGCCAATATAGCGGTCTCTATGTCTTGCAAAACCTGCTATATACATAATACAGTTGCAAAACACGCTATATAGTAAATATAAACCTAAATAACTTAATTCGGCAATTTATAGGATTATACGCAACTATTCCTACGATTTAGAATAATTATTTTTAATTTTTTCAATCATCAAAACATTTTTTTTCGTTATTATCCAAAATTCAGTTATGAAGCATATAGCGGGTTTTGCATATGGGCTACTCAATTATTAGTCAATATTCATTATAAGCTACTATTCCCCATCTTTATAGCGACTATTTCGTCGGTGGAAATTATTTCCGCGGCAAGGCGGCGAGTCGGCGGTGGCGAGTTGTCCCCGCGGCGAGATGGCGACGGCGAGATGGCGACGGCGAGATGACGGTGGCGAGTTGTCCGATCCCGTAATTTTTGCGGTTGGCAAAGTTGCTCCACATTGTGTGTTTTTTTTAGAAAATGGTTCGAATGTATAAAAGACAAGTGGGTGCATGGCGTTATAAAGCCCTTGAAGGTAGTTTGACGCCGTATAATAACCTACAAAACCAAAAATCCACGAGACAGTAAACAAAAGCACTTTTCCTCATTTATTGAAAAAGCTCATTGAAGAAAGAAAATTAAAAAACGAACAAATCATTCAAAATGGATTTAGAGGAACGGGAATATACCCATGTAACAGAGAGGAGGTTCTTAATAGAATGCCTAATAAAAGATTTGATAGAACCAACACTGATATTAGCGAGACCTTGTTGGATTTCCTTAAGGAAAGTAGAGCTCCTTCAAAAGCAAGCACCCCAAAGAGAAAGAAGATGATAAGAATTGAACCTGGCAAATCTGTTGCAAGTGAGGATTTCACGACAAGTATTCCCAAAGAAAAGAAACGTGATAAAGTACATAAAGAAACTGAAGAATATGACTGGACCATTGAAAGTGAATTTGAGGACAATTTAGAATTAGATGAAGTCGAGGATTTCCAAAAGACTGATGACCGCAATGACGAGCCTCAAGCCCATGGCTTCCGTGATATTGTAACTAGCAAGACTGAAGATGAATCAAAATTAGTAGTCTACAGGTACACCAGGATACCACAAGGTATAGCTGAAAACTTTCCTTCTGACTGGGCAATAGGAAAGTCTAAAAAAGGGTGATGACCCAAGAGCTATTCTTTGAATACATTGCTAACATTGTCGTACCCTGGCTTGAAAAGGAAGGCATTCCCAGACCAGTTGTGATGTTCTTAGATGGACATGTTTCCCACCTATCCTTACAACTTAGTCAATTTTGTATTGAGAAAAATATTGAATTAATAGCATTATATCCAAATGCTACACACATTATGCAGCCTATGGATGTATCTGTATTTCATGTCTTAAAAACCATTTGGAGACAGAAAGTTGCAGATTGGAAAATTTTACATAATGGAGAGCCTCCTAATAAGTACAATTTTGCAACAGTATTAAAAGAAGTTTTTCCTCATATTAACACATTGCATGCCACGCTGTTATCGGGAAAATAGCCCCAGGGGCCAAACTACATTTTTGCAATATTTGTATGTATTTACTCAAAATAAAGGTTGTTTTTTTTGATAATTTTGTTTTTTTTTGTAGTTTTTAGCTATTTTTTTTTTTCACTTTTTCTGTGTCTCATATATAAGCGACGTGGCCCTAAAGCAAAAAAAGTTGTAATATTTAAGCTGGGGGCAATGTCTCTCAAATATGATCGACGCATAGTTGCAAAATCCAAAACTAAATTGACATACAATTATTGCGACAAGTGCCCCGGACAACCGCAAATATGTGCGTCATGTTTCAATGAAAAACATTAATTCTTAAATTTTTTTCAGTTCCTCTTTTTTCTTTTTGCAGTCGAAAGACGTTTTCATTTTTTTATTAGAATAAGCAATCCCAGAATAAATTTTGTTTCATTATTACGAATAGGCTATTTCAGAATAAATTTTGTTTTTATTACGCAAAATAGATATTTTTCAAACATTTGTCATGGTAATTTTTTTTTTCAAATTTGATCAAACCAAGACCAATATTACTTTCCCCAGAGGCCAAGCTTGGGATTCTCCATTTGAAATAAACGGTAGCGGGTATCACATTTGATATACATCGCCAGAAAGTGAGAGATGCATGTCTCTCATAAATGAGCGCTGAAGCCCGCGGCGAAATGTTTGTGTCTCGCACATATGAGAGACGTGGCACGCAATGAGTTAAAGATTTAACAATAAGAAACGGATTTAAAAAATGTGGCTTGGTGGCAATTAAGGTTAATAGAGAGCCAAGTGCAGAAACTAAAACTTTAAATACAAGAAAAACTGCACAGGACAAACTATTATTTACAATATTAGAACGTGAAATCGGCATGAATAAAATAACATCTTTTATGGACAGTCAAAATGAATGGAAAGGGCCTACTGAAGACACATCTTTATTTAATTTATGGAAATTGTGGCATGACCACCAACCTCAAAATACTGAAGAAAGGGTAACATGACTTTTATATACATATGAACTACTAGAACTAAATATAATTTTAAGTGTAAGGGGTTAAAGAAAAGGTCCTTTATTTCTCACAAGTCAATTTAATTGGCGACCGGTTTCGAAGCTGTCACTTCATCATCAGGCACACCTTGACTATTTCCATAAGTGACAGCTTCGAAACCGGTCGCCAATTAAATTGACTTGTGAGAAATAAAGGACCTTTTCTTTAACCCCTTACACTTAATCCCTACTACTCACATATGGCTACCCTCACTCCAAATAAATATAATTTTTTCAGCAATTTCATGAAGAACTGGCATCTATACAAGAACCAGAGTTCTTAGATGTAGGGTTTCAAGACACAAACATTTCTCCTGCTGGATCAACTCCAGAATCACAAGTAGCACCAGAGACTCCGTTAAACAATGTGACAAACATTAATGCACCTTCTTGTTCTACTAGCACTGAACTGCATAATCTCAAAACTACCCCTTTAGTGAAGAGATTTACTAATCATAAAGAAAACATTCCTTCCCCTTTTAAAAGAGTTTTGTTTTGGAAGGAAGAGGGCCCATTTGAAGTTAAGAAAAAAAAATTACCAGCCATTGCTACTTCTCCACAAATGTTGGAATATTTTAATAAAAAGTTGAATACCAAAAAGGAGATGGAAAGACAAAAGGAAGAACGGAAATTAGCTAGAGAAGAGAAAAAAAGGAATATGGAACAAAAAAGGCAGAATCTAAGCAAAAGACCAAAAAGGCTACAACTACAAAGAAAAGATGTCTCTCGTCTTCTTCAAGTTCTTCAAATGATTCTTCTACTCGATTTTCTCTTCAAAAATCTGACATGTCAGAAACATTAGAAAGTGAAGATGAAGAGGACGTATTAATTGCCAATAACAACATGAGTTATAATGAATTTAAGGGTGGCAAACGAAATTCGTTGGACTTTAAATTTGTGTGTGTTGTTCAAACATTAATTTCATCTGAAAATATTGTTGTTATGGGTTGTAAATGCATTGATAACATTCACAAAGAATTTATAGCAGTTGAAAAGGACATCAGCGAAATAATTTTTTGTCAATTGGAGCAGTCTGAATTAGTGTTGAAGGGTGAAAGGGTTAGCTATAGGTTTAAGGAATCCATTGGTGTAATTTCTTAATTAATGAATAAATTAATTAATCCGAAATTGTTTGTTTTATTGACCTCACTAAGTAAGATGTCAACTACCGGAGCAAATCATGTCAAATACTAGAACTAGCTAATCTGCACCTGCAACTTTGGAGCAAAAAAGTCCAAAAAGAAAATTAAAACAATCTATCATTTTAATATGAATGTTTACCTAGACCACACTTAAGGTGTTCTATCTGAAGATGATAACAAAATATAGAGACAAATTTATGAAATTAATTGTAAATTTACCATTATATATTTCTTAAAGTGTCAACTACTTGTATGTTTACCTTACCTTATTGAAAACTTTACTAATTTCTTAGAAAATTTTTATTCTTGATAAAAATTAGTACCCAAAAGTCACTATACACGTAAAAAATTTGAACCATATAAGAGGGAGATAAAAAAATAAGAATTTAGATCAAAAATCGAGATTAATGTTACTTAAAAAATTTGTTTAAATTCATTATTTATCAGCAATCGATATGAACATCTGACGGGCCTAACAGTAAAAGGCCAGGCGTGACTGTGAGCGAAAGAGCATCATTTGTGCACGCAAGTCCTTGTGAGAGTATTAATGGAGTATATTAGTGAAGATATGAACATTTTTCGTATATCATCTGTACCTTATAGAAAATTTTTTGATTGTTAATTTCTCAGAAAATTTTATTCTTGATAAAACTTAGTACATGACCTAAAACCCAGTACAAACCACATAAAAGTGTAATTCGGTTGAGACGACTGAGACGACAGAAGCCGCGCGGCCGAAATCACCAACTGCTCTGTAGTGTAATTGTACCAGTCGTGGTGATCAGTAGTGTTTTGCCAGCAAATTAATTGAGTTAGTTCGTCAACACCCATGCCTGTACAATCCACAAAAGGACCAATATAAAGATATATTGTCCTTTAAAATCCAATGTTTGAATTTATCAAAGCTGTTAAATTCTAAATGTTTCCAAATTAGAAATTTATGAAAAACATTACATTTAAATCACATTTGTTTACTTTATTTTAATGAAACAGTCTAGGATGTTATGGCATTTGCATTTGGGGAAGCTCTCCTCATGCTAACGGTGTTTTTTTTTATCACAGAAAAGAATTCTAAGGTGTATCTCAAAAACCTCATTTGTAGATTTATGTTGACCAGTTTTTGTTAACTTGAGAATTTTAACTGTGCATGGCCTCTATACAGGGCGTTTCATAATATATGCGCAGGACTTCAGGACATGATAGCTCGTCCAAAAATATGTAAAACGTTTCTATTAACTTACCCTCTAAAATGCACCATTTTCGAGATACAGGGTGTTGAAATTGAAAAAAAAAAATTCTACGCCACTGGAAAAAGTACGGTTTTGAGACGCCCATTTGAACCGCCAATGTTTTCTACACAAATACACAAAAAAGGTACTCTTGGTCATACGCTCTAAAGTCGACCGTTTTCGAGAAAAATCAAATTTTGTTTCAAGTTTTATTTCCAAAAATTGACCATGTATTTCAACATTAAAATTTGATTTTTCTCGAAAACGGTCGACTTTAGAGCGTATGACCAAGAGTACCTTTTTGTGTAGAAAACATTGGCGGTTCAAATGGGCGTCTCAAAACCGTACTTTTTCCAGTGGCGTAGAAATTGTTTTTTCAATTTCAACACCCTGTATCTCGAAAATGGTGCATTTTAGAGGGTAAGTTAACAGAAACGTTTTTTCATATTTTTGGACGAGCTATCACGTCCTGAAGTCCTGCGCATATATTATGAAACATCCTGTATTTTGGATTTAATCACATCAATGCACAGAAATAAAAACAATTCTTTACGGAATAGTGATATTCATGCTCATGACACAACATATAAATCACATCTCTTTATACTTTACCAGCGTATAAAAATTTGTAAGAAATCATCTATGGGAATTAACTTTATAATAGTCTCCCACAATATTTTAAAGATATTGCCTAAGTACATAAATTTAAAGAGAAAACTAAAAACAATCTCATTGATATGTGTCTATATTCGGTTGAAGAATATTTTGAAAATATTCGTTGAATCATGTTTAGAGTGCAACATGTACTTTGTTTGATCCTATTTTTTTATTGTTTCATGTATGTGTGTTTTTAGTATTTATAATATTTTTGTATATCATATATATTATGAGATCAATAAATTCTATTCTATAACAGTCATGAACAGTGTTCAGATGAAACTTTCAGAAAAATAATTTAGTGTTCTTGACTAAATACATTTCATGACCAGCACACCTTTCTACCAACATCATTAACAAATTATCTTCTTTTGTTGCTTGAGAAGATATAATACACATGTTTCTGCCATGGTGTCTACAACTGTACTGATACATAATCGCATCATTGACAGTAGAGCAAGCGACTCTGATAATGCAGCTATTAAGTTGCAACCTCAGCCATCGCATTTGAATTACACCTTTACTTTCAATAGTTTTTCTAATACTCATGGTTTTTCTGATTGGCAACAAGTGCCCTTAGCCATAAAATTACATGAAACATCAATTGTACATAATGTTCACATGAATATACATGAATGAATTAAAAAAATTCAAAGCAAACAAAACCTAACCACATTTAAAGTTCTGACAACTATAACTGTATTGAAAGGTCCATTATCATGGCAACTTGGTTTTGTCTAGAAAAAATTACATCACACTACTAACATTAGCATGGTCCATTGTCATATCAATATGACCAAGTATTTCGTTGCCACAATCATGTCACATTTTTAAAAATCTGAAAATGTCCACTAAATTATGTCTATTAAGTTTTATGAAAATATCTATCATTGACCAAAATCAGTTTTCTTTTTAAATTGGGGTTGGCTATGAAAGTTAAACATCTCTCACTCTGTATAGTAAAACTACCACTGTTAAAAATTATTATTTTTCACAGACCAGCAACAATATAATGTCACATAGCTTCTTTTCTGGCACGACCCTGATAAACTTTGTCGTAGTTTGAGAATGTGATATGTCTGAATGACATGAATCTCAAATTAGGCACAGTCTAATAAAGTTATGGGAATCATTAGCTATTGAGAGATTTGACATTCTTGCAATTGAATGTAAACCTTTTTTTAACAGAATTTAATAGCTGTACAGCACAAAATCTGTTAAGCATTCCAACGAGATTCATATTATGAATGAAAAGTAGATATATCTATAATTTAAAAACTCATCATTTATACCATTGCAAGAATTTTCATTAACATTTATGACCTTGATAAACTTTGACAGATGTTCAGACTGTTAGCAATTTGTAGTTCATGTAATTATAATAATAATAATAATAATAATAATAATAATAACGGGTCTTTATTTGCACAAAATAATTACATTTTTGTACAGTTAGCATGGGCGAGGTTTAGCCTGTGGCTATTCTTACACATCTTACACATTAACACATCAATTTCTCAAGTTCTGTTAAAGTTTATCAGGCACAAAAATTTTAATGAATGTTCTTGCATCAGTCTGATAATATGACAAGGCAAGGAATTTAAATTATCATTTAAATGATTTGTCTGTCAATCAATGACATTTATGTTTGTTTATAAATAAATTTATCTATATCCAAGATTCTTCATTTCAGATAATTTTAAATCATAAAACTGAATTGATAGAACACATGACTACAAAAATATTAATATTATACACAGTGAAATGTGTCAAACTTCCATGACCAAGCCGTATTTAAATAAAAACTGAATGGCATATATAGTATGAGTATTGTCTTGTCCATACCCTGTACATCTAAGGCAATAAGGAAATGGGAAAATTAAGGGCCCTGTAAACTATGCACCATAAGGCTAAATTTCCACCAAATTCAAAACACATTGCCAAAAAAATTAATCTATTAAAAACCGACAAAAATAACAAATAAATAAAGTCACTGTTTGAAGTTCAGCAAAAATGTAGGAATAATTCAAATTTGACTCTTACCTCCCTATGCTTTTCTTCTTCTCTGATTTTTTCGCGCCTTTTCTCCAAGTCTTCCATCATTTCTTTTTCCATGATTCGTTTGGCCTCTTCAACTCGTTTGTTGACCTCTCTCTCTATTTCATCTTTTCGTTTTTCTAATTCTTCTTCTACCCGTTTCTTAACTAAATCTTCTATTCGTTTGGCTGTTTCTTCTTCTATTAAACGTTGTTCAGCTTCCCTTTGCCTTCTTTGTCTTTCCATTTCAGCAAGACGCTCGACTTCGTCCATTTTTCGAAGTCTGTGTTTTTTACTTGAATATCTTTCATTTTTTGACATGTCATCTGAAGCCTCACTACTGCTTGTGGATGAAATTGAGTGAGATCGTTTTCTGCAAACACAGAAAAAACATTTTTGTTTTAAGCTACATAATTAGCAAGGCTGCTTAAGTAATAATTGCCTAAAGGCCGCTTCTCACTGTAGTTCAGGTCACCCTCCACTCAGGGGGTAATCCAATATTGTGACACACTATTTAAATGGAAATATTCATATTTGATGTTTCACTCATGTTATGCTCATGATCTTTCTCTTTGAGAATATATTGATAGAAGGGTGAGCGAACCTTTGTCAGTGTGTATAAGCAACAAGAATAAGAGGAAAAACAAACTTTCTATTCTTGTGGTAAGAGCAAGATGCATGAGCAACGAATTAAATTAGTTCGGATTACCAAAATAATTGTATAACTTTTGGTGAAAAGTTATAATTTGACATGACATTAAAAAATAGAAGATGGAGGGAAATGAGCGCCAGTTGAGTGTAATATGTGTATACTACCTCATATCCTTGATTGTGAGCGGATCATCAGCGTAGTGTGACCTGAGGGCCTAATTAGAATCGGGTCTACCGTACCCCTAAACTGTTGGAAATCGGCGCTTTAGTTAAAACTATAGCACTAATATTTAGAGGAACTAGGTAATTCAAAACAAATCGTACCTTGATTTAATACTTCTATCCTTGGTTTTTTCTTTTTCTACTTTATCCAGCGTTTTGTAACTACTTGATGCCCTTTCTCTAGATTTGCTTCTTTTATGGTGTTTTCTAGGGGAACGGCTGGACCTACCCATTTCAGAGTGCTTTGTTGGGAAGTAAATGTAATCAATTCTTTAGTGTAATAAAATTAGATAATTAACAGTGATAAATAAAGTGATTTGTTTTAGAAACGTACAAATCTATAAAATTAACACACCGTCGTTAACCAAAAACACCCCACCTTCTTTATAACAGTAAATGTCAATTGTTTGTCAAACTTCAGTTTTCATTTTTAGTGAATTTTGCGCGAACTCGCCTACGTGTTACCAACTGTAACCAGGTTAGTAGCTGTGATGACGTCAGGGTTACGCTCGACAGATGTTGAACTTGAGGTATGTGTTCTTTTATACAGCGCTGTATTCACCGCTTGCAGCAAACTGTTCATAAATTAAGCACTGGAATAACGATTGTAACTTGTTAAACCTTGTTTTTTACATCAATAAACTAACGCTTCCATTGGCTTTAAAAGCACAAAACACATGCTTCGCAGAGACATAAGGTTCTTTCGTTCGTCCCAGTGGTGTAGGAATGAACTACACCAACGTACACCATACCTTTCGTTTGGTCCGGTGTAAAATCCACTACACCTTCCTGTCGGCGATGTGGTGTGCACTGGTGGATATTTTCTCCATCAGGTATTTAGGGGTCTATTCTGTAACAATTCCTTTATATTTTAACGACCGTTAAAATATTGGAGGCCTTTAAAAATATTTTCGTATTTACTAAATTACTTGTCATTATTTATACGGATTCCCTTAAAATACATTAGAGGAATATCTTAAAGAAATCCGTTTAATGACAGAAGTAAATTAGCGAATACGAAAATATTTTTAAAGGCTGCTAATATTTTAACGGGTAGAAGAAAGCAGGAGTGAATTACACTCGACATGTGTATAAGGAATAAGGATGAAGTAAACTAGGTAAATAAAGGTGCTCTGTAACTGATACACTGGTAGACACTGCACCAACAGCGAACGAAAGAACCTATACTAAAGTATTTGGTGCAAGTTAGTACACTGCAGTGTAACCAATTGAACACAAATCATGCAACGAGTGTCACCAATTGTCACCAATCCTTTATGAGAGGAAAAACTGAAAAAACTTCATGAAGGCTGTCCTAGGCTGTCGCCAAAAATCGCTTATGTCAATTTGTTAAATGACAAATTTGACATTTGAACGTTGGTTTGACGTTTGTGTGTTTTGAGTTTGAGACTACAAAGCAGAAGTTTATTTAACGAAAATATAAAAATGAGTGGCGGAAAAGAAGCGATGGAAGTTGAAATCGAGACTTCTTCTACAGCAGAATGCTCAAAATCTTCAATGGATACGTCCACTGAAGTAAGCAAAAATGTCATGGCTTCAGGAGCCGTTGGTTCCATAACTTGTTCCTTGCATCCCTTGGTTATTATGAACGTATCAGAACACTGGACTAGAGAAAGGGCTCAAGAAGGCGCTGTTCAACAGGGTATACAATTTAAATATTTTACAATATAACTTACTTTATATGAGAAAGCTTCAAAGATACAAATTGTGCCGGTGCTTATTATTTTTTGATTGTTATAAGCAAATAAATTTAATTACAATTCATTATATTTTCTTTTTAGTGATTGGAGCTCTCATTGGCAAACAAAAAGGCAGAAATATTGAAGTAATGAATTCATTCGAGTTAGTTTTTAGCGTTATTGGAGGTGATATTGTTATTGATAAGGATTATTATAATATGAAAGAAGAACAATGTAAGTAAGAGTAAAAATTATGATTTAGATTGTCTATTCTATAAAAAACTTGTGATTTATTTTGAAGTGTTAATAATATTTATTAATTTGTTTTAGTTAAACAAGTTTTCAGTGACTTAGATTTTATTGGATGGTATACAACAGGAGATGCTCCTGGTGTTATGGATATTAAAGTGCACAAACAGATTTGTGAAATAAATGAGTCTCCAATATTATTGAAATTGAATCCTTATGATAAAAATATCGAAGTAAGTCTCAAATTATTGCAAAAAATATAAAATAGATATAAGAAAATGATTCTACTTAATAGTTAATGCATTAAGTTGAATCGCCATCCTTAATTGAGGAATTGGCGAATGATCTGTAGTAATATTGTAGAATCAAAATTTTGAGTTTGTTTAAAATCATTGTTCTTTCAGCACTTGCCAGTCAACCTCTATGAATCTGTGATTGACTTAGTAAATGGTGAAGCTACAATGCTTTTTGTACCTCTAACATATACACTAGCTACTGAAGAAGCTGAACGTATAGGTGTAGATCATGTAGCTAGAATGTCTGCTACAGATTCTGGAGAAAGTTCCTTAGTAGCTGAACATCTTACAGCACAGCACAGTGCCATTAAAATGCTGCATTCCAGAGTCAGGTTAGAATCCTACTATGTTAAATAATTTCAAAAATTAATAATTAACAAACTTTTATGAAGCAGAGCCCTTTCAAGCATATTATTTTTTAGATTGGTACTGGAATATATGAAAGCAGTACAAACTGGTCAACTGCCCAGGAATCATGAAATACTCAGAGAGGCATATTCATTGTGCCACAGATTACCTGTCATAGATGGGGCTAGGTTTAGGCAAGATTTCTATAATGTAAGTTTTGAGATTTTGATTTAAAAAAATTATATTTTTCATACTTTTTTCTATGTAATAATGAACTGAATTTGATCTAATCTTGGTATTTTTTTCAGCAATGTAACGATGTAGGACTTATGACTTACTTAGGCACACTTACCAAGGGTTGTAATGATCTAAACCAGTTTGTAAATAAATTCAACATCCTCTATGATAGACAAGGGGTAGGCCGAAGGATGAGGGGTATTTTCTTCTAATTCTAAGTAAATTAACATCTAAACTGTTATATTATTTATTAAAATTTGTAATAAACAATCCTATAAATACAACTTTTTTCGTAAAAACAATTCACTTTCAAAAAAAAAAAAATTCGTATAAAAATGGGAAGACTGTGCGATTCTGATTTTTTGAGTACCAGGCACTGACTTATTTTTAATTTTCTTTGCTTTAAATCCATATATAGAAGTTTTATGTATCTTCAATGTTTACTTTAGAGTTTTTAATAATATACATATACAGAGTGTCCAACACCATGAATGTCTTGTTTTAATGATTTTAAAATCTTTATTTCAAAAACCTGGTATACCATTATTATGCAATCACCACTAATGAATCAAATAACTTATTGTGGTTTTAATATTTTTGATATAAAACTAGTCAAAACAATTTTTGGACAAGCTGTACATCTCCTTAACTGTATTTAAATTGTACAAAAATATACAAATTTTAATGCATGAAGCAAATCATATATAATAAAAATAATTTCATTTAATCAAAATGACTCACTTTTCTTGGGTGGTAAATTGATAAATTCTGAATTATATAACTGCAAAACAAAAACATACATTAAGAGAAAAACCTGCATGATAATCAATTAAAATGTTTCACCAATAAATGAAGTATGGGTGCATGAAAATGTAGTTATTGAATCAATCTATTAGTCCAATAATAACAAATACTAATTATGTAATTAAGAAGATATAATTTCCTAAAAAATAAATTTGATTTACCTACTTCTTTTAATGGAATCAAATGGTAAATTCCCTAAAAATTCGCGACCCAGATTTTATTGCATTTTTGTTCCCAACCATATGATCAATTTTAAAATAGTTCCCTTAGAAGCTATATCTTTTAAAACTAGGATGTTTCCATTTAGAATATTCTTGTTTTACAATTCAGAAGTTACCAATAAAAAAAGTGTTCAGCCCATATAGAAATTAACAACAAATAACCAATTTAAATATATATATAAAAAATCATTGCACTGTTCTGTCCATTCCTATAAGTTCCTCGAAGAGGGTACCACTCAATTCCTTCCCTTGTATAACTCTATTGGAGTACCTCAATGTAGCTTCTGCCAAATCTTTTACAGACCATTTTCTGTCTATGAGTATCCTACAAACGGTATCCAGTTTCGCCAACTGTTGGTGACCGTATGTGCAATAAATTAATGCCGGCACACCGGCCACACTGGCTGCCATCCATTGTATTACAACCTTGAGCTGTACGTCACCTTTGTGGGAAGAGCCGCAGCCCCAGTTACCTGTTGATATGGGTCTAAGGCCGTTTTTGGGGCTCTCGGAGAGTTGGGAGAGCTAAAAAAAATTATTTCATTTTTTTAGTTTGGTTTCTTTAAACAATTATACACACAAGCACTACAATTTGACGTATATGTTGTGAATGTAGTTCATTTCTGACCGAAATAACGTGACTTTCGTTCTCACAGTTGAATCGGTGAGTTCGAAAACTGTACAAGTCCAAAATTTAAGCCATTTTGTTTAAAATTTGTCTCTTCATCGATTGAGCTTAAAAACCGTACTAGATACCTATCCGTTAACGTAGTACAGCTGATAACACCCGTGAAATTAGGTGAAAAACCGTACATATTCGTGACTCGTTAAAAGGTTTTTATTGTTTTTCTCGGAAGGCTGATTTTGGACATGTACGATTTTCGAACTCACCGATTCACTTGGCTTTCGCTGTGCTTCTAAGGCTAGTTTTATGCACTGCATTTATGAACATCTTTTTCGAAAAAGGGTGTCTGTACGGACCTGCGATCGCTAAAGTCCGTTTGCTCTGAATGCACTCATGACATTTTAGTCACTCTACTATCAATCACTGAATAGGTTTCCGACTATTTAAATACGTACTGTTGAAAGTATCACACTTTGTATAATATTGAATTGTGAAGCGTCATCTAGTTTACATGATTTTAAAGGCTCCATAACAAAACAGCTCAAAAAAAAAATAGCACAAGAACAAAATAGAGCAGGATAAATACCGCACGACAAAATAGCGCAAGGCCAAAACAAGATGTTTTTTTTTAATTAATGAAATTCATTGAAATAATGCGTAACAAATACTATTTCGACACCACCTATGTAGAAAATGTTTAAACTGTAGCTCCATCTCTCACATTTTAGGATCCTATCCATTTTAGCGTGAAACAATTTCGCGCGGAACAAATTTGCGCTGAGACAAATACAAGAGACAAGTGAGACCAATTAACGCCTATTCTAATTATGGTGAATCAAGTTAGCGCTTTTTCATAAACGAGTGAAACAAATTAACGCGTGACAAAACATGTCAGTATTCTAATTAAAATTAAAAAAAACTAATTTACCTAACCTGTCCGGTCTGGAGCCATGGCGGGTTACTGTATATGGCTCCAGAGGCCGCACAGGTTAGGTAAATTAGTTACAACTTTTTTAAATTTTATATCAAATCTTTTTTCAAAGCAACCATTTTTTTGGAGAGGAAAAGTCCTCGTGGACAAGCACCTAGGGCTAGGTTCAATCACACCTGGGAGTGTGGGACTTCGGCTTTTGGATGCTCTGCTAGCCTATCCACTAAAACCCCTCTTCAACCTCAGCATTCCGGCATCGTCTTTTTGGGACATTCTTCGGAATACTAAGTGATCTTCAAATTTACTCAGCTGTTTTATGTCCTTTATTATTGTGTTTGTCTTATTCTTTCCTCTTTCTCCTTCTTGTGTAGGATTTCCTTTGCCTTCTTTCGGATAGCCTCTCATGTATCCTCCAAAATCATGGCCATGTTCTCATTTACGACTGCTCCTATAGTACCCCACGCCCTTTGCCTTTCTATCACACGGCGGTTGCAGTGGAAGATCGTGTGTGCCGGAGTATCGATTGCCTCGCAGTACATGCATACATCTATAGCTTTCTTGCCAATTTTTTTCGTATACAACATGAAACAGCCCTGTTAAAATTTGTGTAATATGATAGTCCAGGTGTCTATGTTGGCATTTATACAAACTTACCACATCTCTAAATATGCCCTTTGTCCACTGAGCTTTATCTGTGGTATCCCGCCATTCGTTCTGCCACCTAGTTAGAGTAACCCCTCTAGCTCCATGTTCTTTGCCTCTCTACCGTTGACCATTCTGTAGACCAGCCATACTCAACCTTTTTTTCCTTCGGGCCACATTTGTATATGTGCTATGTTACACGGGCCGCAATATTTTTTGATGATGACCTTTTTTTTAGGCCATCTATCTAAAATTAGTTAGTGAAGACCTCTAATAAATAAAACATAAATCTATCCCGTTGTGTAACTGCAAAAACAAGATAACTCACATTTTTAGAGTTTCGATAAAACACTATTCAAACGTTTAAAACTGAATAAAAAATCAGTAAAAGCTTCAAACCGTTTATTAACTTCAATGAAGAAGGCATTGAAAACATTGTTCACAAAGTATAAACTAATAATCTATCAATAATTGGTAAAAAAGAGAGAAATAACGTCACAGCTCATTTTAGCTCTACATACAAATCATAATTCAATGTATGTGTCACTACCTTCAGTCGAAGTTTTAGAAACATTATTGGATACAGGTAGATCGTAATAATAATGGTGAAATTCATCAGGTGTATCTGATTTTGCAAAATTTTAGGAAATCTTTCTTCTTGCACTTTTTTGTAAGTATTTTCAAAACTTTGTTTCATCCTTTCATGCATCCCTCTGAATAAATACTGTACAAGTTTGGCACAGCTAAATCTTTCAATACGTTGTCTATTAGAAAATATGATTAAAACTCAAATTCGCCTGTTACCACTAATACTTTTATTTATGAATTTTCACATAAAGATTCGCCCGTTACGGATTAACAAATCACTCGTTATAGCTTGACCAATCACCCGTTACATCTCGACCAATCACTCATCCACTACGAAGATTCGAACATCACGTGTTATTATTTAATGGTTGTTTAACGTTATAATCGAATTAAATTACCGGTTTTGAGCTTACATTAAATTGTAATTAATTGAAACAAAATGGATTCTATGTATTTTGAGGTGATCTTTTCAAAAAAAAAGCAAAACAAAATGTAGCAGTCTTTCGAAAGTGCCGAAATTTTGGATTTTGTCAATTTTTCAATTTTGCGCATGCGCATGTCGCAAATAAATCATTATTTTTAAAACGCAGTTTACGACATTTGAAAGCTTAGAAAAAATGCTAATTTTTATGTGTCTTGAGAAATTTTGATCGGATGCACCGTTCTCGCGGTATGGACGGTTGAAATTTGTTTAGTATTTTGAGGCGGCGAAGGTCGAAAAATTGAATTTGTTAAATGTTCAAACACTAAATTCTTCATAACTTTGGTAAAAATTAAGATATTTGAAGAAACAAAAATTCGTTTTGAACTTAAGGGATGTGACTATTGATTCCCAGAAGGGGGTAAGAGAAATCCCAAAATTGGGCATATGGCGGAAGGGCAAAGTGTACCGCAAGCCTAATTTCATTGTTTGCCTATAACGGCCAAACTATTTAAATTTATTTAATGCCACTTACAGAGCTTACTCTTAAATATGAAATCTTATACGTGTGTGAATTTTACCGAAATCGGATTATAATTAGCCAAGATATCAAACAATTTAACAAATTTTTTTCCCTAAAAAAAAAACTAAATTTTTTTTCGAAAGTTTGAAGTGGCACAAAAATGCACCCAATGACTCAAAACTTTTTTTTTAATACTCTATTATGTCTAGAATACGATTACATTACGGAAAATTCTGCAAAAATATTTTATCTATTTTTTTGACCACTGTTCATTGAGTGACGATTAAAAAACACGGTTTTTGAGGAAAGTTGCCTAAAATTGACGATTTTCAGTTTTTTGGTCTGAAAATTGAGCAAACCCAAATCTCATATCTTCTGAATGTGTATACAAAGTTTAAAGTGTGTATGTTTCTTCTAAGTTGTAGAATTCTCCCGACAAAAGTCCCATTACACGCGCTCCGCGGGATCCAAAACTCGTGCATTTATGTAATTTGATTTTTTTGTGATTTCCAGTTTTAAATTTCTTACATACCTAAATTTATTAGGCCTAAAATTTATTAAATTGTATTTTACTGAGTTGTTATAAGACGTTTCTTGAGTTTTGTGCAAAAAATAGAATTACCGCAAAATTAGCCGGACGTCGTATCAAGGATAGTCATGGTCTCGGCGTTCGCTATCCGACAAGTTTAAACTTGAAACGGTCATATTATTACAAATTGAATCGCTTGATAGTGTATATCGGCATAGATTTTTAATAACCGTGTTCAGCAAGCTCTATGTACACGTGGTTTTTCGGACTTGTTCAGCAATTTATTAAGTACGTTCTTAAATTAAGAAAATTCTATCACAGTGCTATAATTTTTTTGTTTCCAGGTTGCAATGGCTTGACTGTGTTTATTATGTCATCAGAAACTTGCAGAGGGTGAACTTACCCCAATTAGACCGACAGGATTGAAAGGTCTGCAGATGGTCAGCAAAGAGAGAGGGGATGATTTTTTCAGTTCTTTAGAACCAGGTTTTATATTGCATGAAAGGTGTCGCAAACATAACGTAGCTCGACGTTACGGAAAAGAGTTTATTTATAAAACCTGGTATAGGCATAAAAGGGCCGCGATTGACAATGCCAAAAAAAAGGAGGATGGAGCATCAACCGAGAAGAAAACCAGAGAACAAAAAACAAGCTTATCACAAAGTTGGAACTTACACTCAAGCTTAGGATTAATTTCCTAACATTTTTAAAGTATACCTTTTTGTATATTTTTTTGTGCTCTTTCCGATGGCGCAGTTAGTTTCTTCAAATATATTTTTTGTTAGATGTTTTCGGAAAACCTGGAGAAAATCATATGGGAAAAAATTAAAAAAAATTTACGCCTTCCGGTTTCCTGCGAATTCCCGAAAAGTTATGGCAGATTTCGCCGCGGGACTTATTTTATTTGAGAGCCCACAAAAAAATACGCAACTTCTCTCATGGGCACATATGTCTAACATTTATAATTTCGCCACAAATTCATCGCAAATTTCATGTTCATGATTCTGATCAAAGAAACGAAAAAATAACTTTTTGGTAAAAGCACTTCTGGCGGCGAGAAATTCGCCATTAAAACTACCTGTGCAATGAAATTCCGAACTATTTTTGCCTCCTCTTTCAATTGATGCATTTATTTTTACTATCAGAATGATACTTGCCCAGATAATTAGCATTTTTACCATGGAAAATTCCGGAAAACCCGGTTTTTCCTAATTTAAAAAAAAATTGAAAAACTGCTACATCATTTTTTTCTTTTTTTCTGAAAGA